GCAACGGTGCGGCAGCCACCAGCGGCACAAGCAGCAGCAATCCAAATACGATAAGTGCGAGCACAATAAAGATACGCATACCGGAGGTGGCGTGCACCATTTGTGGGGCACGCTTCACCGACCAGGAGATGTTCACCAAGCACATACAGAAGCACGAACAGGATCTGTATGTGGACAATCCGTTGGCGGCCATGTTCGACGATGGCCCCGCCGATGTGGGTCAATTCAAGGTGGAGCGCCAGAACGAGAATGGGGAATACGCGTGCGATTTGTGCGCCAAGACGTTCCCCCAGGTGATTGCGCTCAAGGTGCATCGCAAGTGGCATTTCAGAGGTGATAGCAAGCAGGTGAGCTTTTTGGGCTTGTGCAGCGAGGTGAAATCTGTGTGGATGGATCCCACGATACCGTCTGCGGATCCATTCGTGTGCGTCAAATTAATAACGTTTGTTCTTTGTTGCCTCCGCACCAGTCGCAAAAAATAAACAACAACTAATGAAAGAAAAAAAACTAAAATAGAAATAGGAAAAAAAAAAAATGAAACACTTTAATAGAATTTACAATGTGTGCAGCAGCACCACCCGTTTCGAGTGGTGCAGTCTTGTGTGGTTTTACTAATTTCCTTTATATTTGTACATTTAGAATCTCATCATCGACGGCGAAGCGACAACGCTGAACAACAGCAGCAGCAACAACAACAACAACAACAATTCGCTGAGCTCCTCATCGATGCTACGCGAGCTGCATGCAGTGGGCCTGATGCCCAACCAGCAACAACACCAGAAGCAACAGCAACAGCAGCATCAACAACAACAACAACAGCGGAACAACACGTCGAGCAGCAGCTCGAGCAAATCGCTGAAGCGGAAACGTGAACTGAAATGCGAATACTGCGCCTCCACATTCATTAGCAACAACAACCTGCGACGCCACATGTACGAGCTGCACAAGCACGAGGTCAGCAATCTGCCAGAGCCGCCGGTGATTGAGGTGGATGAGCCGCTGACGTGCCGGCGTTGCGGCGATATACGCTTCGATACCAAAGAGCAGTGGATCGAGCATAAGCTGGCGGACGCCAAGGTGGTGCGTCCCTTCTGTCCATTCCAATGGGGCTGTGATTTGTGCGGCGAGTACTTGTCGCGCAAGGAGAAGCTCATCAATCATATTAACAATCATCTCAAAGAGGATGTGATAGTGCCGGTGGCGACCGTCAGCAAGGCGCCCGTGCTGCCCAACAAGGCGAAGACGGCAGCTGGAACAGCAGCAGCAGCAGCAGCAACAGCAACGGCTGCAAAGGGCACAGTGCGAGCGGCGGCAGCAGCTGGCGGCAGAGTGAATAAGGATAAGCAGCTGGAGGAGGAGCAGGCGACAATGAAGGTGGCAACGAAGCAACAGCAGCAGCAGCAGGAGAAGGAGAAGGAACAGCAACAGCAGGCATCCAATGATGATCATGCTGAGGAGGATGATGATGAGGGGGAGGAGGACGATGGCAGTGATATGGATGAGGATGATGATGATGAGAGCGATAGTGGCGAAGGAGAGAGCACGAGTGCTGATGATGATGAGGAGGACGATGATGATGATGAAGGCGATGTTGACGATGAGGATGATGATGACGAAGAAGATGTGGATGGCAATGTTGTCGAACAGCAATTGCTGCAACAAAAACAACAACAGCAGCAGCAGAAGCAGCAGCAACAACAACAACAACAGCAGCAGCAGCAGCAGCAACAACAAAACCTCAACAGCAACAGCAATAGCGTCGCTGCCAACGATGATGATGATGACGATCTCATTGAGGAAGTCATCGAAGAGGATGGCATTGTCGAGGAGCTGGACGACGATGAGGACGATGACGATGGCAATACAACCGATGAGCACCAGCAGCTGGCAGCCAATGCCAATGCCAATAGCAAGCAGCAACAGCAGCAGCAGCAGCCGAGACGCCTCAACTTTGACTACTCGCGCTCGGACAGCGCCAAGCTGAACGGGAATGGCAAACAGATGCCGCAGCAGCTCGCCGCGGCCAAGTCGAAGGCGGGGCAGTCGGCGGTGCTGGTAATGCATAGCTCCGAGGAGGATGAGGAGGAGGACGATGACGAGGAGGGTGTGGAGGGTGAAGCGATGAACATTGATGATATTATTGAAGAAGATGATGGGGAGGATGAGGACGACGATGTGGTTGGTGTCGATGGTGGTGTTGTTGAGGACGACGATGATGATGATGATGACGATGATGATGTTGAGGAAGATATGGATGAGGACGACGATGACGAGGAGGATGACGACGACGATGTCGATGACGACGTCGATGGCGTCAACAATCGTCGTCGTGACGGTGCTGTGATGGTCAGCGGCATCAGCATCGGCGACGGTGAGGCTGATGATGATGATGATGATGGTGTTGCTGATGCTGATGTGGATGGTGATGTGGATGGTGATGCTACATCATCATCGGAGAGCGAGTCAACAACAACATCGCATTCAATTGGTGAGCGGCGTAAAAAATCAGTAGTTAAATCAGCGGCACATGCCGCTGCCGCTGATCAGTCTAATTCCAGCTATACGTGTGATCTATGTCAACTTTGTTTCGATTCTCAGGAGCAACTGCAGTCACATATTAAAAGCCATTTTCTGAATGGGCCCTCGGCGGGTGGCAGCGGCAGCAACAGCAGCGCCAGCAATAGCAGAAGAATCGGTGCCGGCGCTGGTAGCAGCAGCACCAGCAACAGCAGCAGCAACAGCAGCAACAGCGGCAACAGGACCAACAACAATAACAACAACAACAATAACAATAATAATAAAAATACCAATAATAATAATAGCAGCAAAAGTAAAACCAAAAAGTCCGGCTTGGATGCAACGAAAGGTGAAGGTGCCGCTGCTGCAACAGCAACAACAACAGCAGCAACAACAAGATCCACAACAGCAACTGTTGCCGCTGCAGCGGCTGATGCAACAAACAGCTTGAACTGAGCTTGCAAACACGAAAATGTACAAAAAAACAAAACACAACAAAATCAATCGCACTCATCGCACACATCCGCAACGCATTCCATTGTCAAAAACACACACAGACACACACGCACACACACGCATACACCCACATCCCCGCGCCCATGCACAACTACATGCATACACATACACGCGCGCGCACACAGTCATGCACATGTACAAAAGGAGAACTGTGTGCATGTGTGTGCGTGTATGTGTGTTAAATACAACAAACGTTTTTTTTTTCTTGTAGTTGATATAAATCATATTGCCTGCTGAATTCACACACATACACACACACAAATGCAGACAAATTAAGCTTACATATTTGATATGATATAACACGATAGTACATACTTACATATATCCACATTATATATATATATATATATACATATAACTTTTTTTTTACATGTTAAATTAGTTGGTACCGCAGACAACAAACAGGCGCTAAAACGCGTCTCCAGTTTTGAGTTTTAGTTAGTTAAGCGAGATATATATACATATATATATCTTAACTATATATAAACGTACGTACATAAGTCTTTAGAGAATGAATACAAATACTTAAGAGGTTAATGAAAAGTTTGAAATTGTCTGGCGAGAAATAACAACGACGACGATGACGACGCACCAAAGCAAACACAATAAAAAATAAAATACTATAAAAAGTGAGCAAAACAAAATGAAACAAGATTACAAAAGCTAACACTAAATTTAGTTGTAGAAATTTCATACATTTTATATATGATATGACTTCTGGATTTTTTTTTTGTTTGTTTTTACTTTTGTTTTTGTTTTAGAGTTCTGCATTTTGCCTATCGTTGGGTTTGAGAAACCACCGTTTGAAAATTCCTTTTAAAAATTTTAGGCATTTTCGAGTTTAAAAACAATTCACTTTTACGTCTGGATCGGACAGTGAATTTTCGTAAAATTATTTTCATATATATATTTATGTATATTATCGTCTTTTTGTAACTTTCGGCTAACTCTGGACTCGCATAGTTTAAGCTAAGCACATTTAATTTCAATTTCAGTAACGCACTTATATATTATGTTTTTTTTTTTAATTTGATGTAATTTATCTTGATTTGGCTATGTGAAATTCAAAGTTGAGATGAACGCATTTTGTAACATGAAAAGTAAATTTGTTTGCCATAAAAACACACACATAGAAACAAGCCACACACACACACACACACGTACACACAGCATTAGCACTTTTCTCCCCCCAATTCATGACACATTTAGTATGTAATGTGTATATTAATTATTTATATTTAATGATGCATTTTACAAATAATTCGTTCTCATGCTTCATTATTCAAATCATATACGTCGTATTGAGGAAAACATAAACACAAACAGGAAGAAAGTAGAAGAAGAAAAAAGTGAAGAAAAATAGTGCATACTGCATATGTTAATTACGCTTACGAAATAATTAATTAATTATTGCGATTTGCAAAACATACCTTTTACTTGTAAAACTAATTTAAGGTTTATGTATGTAATTGGAAAAACTAGTTTAAAAGCCCAGATTACACATTTAAATAAAAAGACAACATGAATGAAACAAATGCATTTTGAATATGAATTTCCCACATTTAAAAAGGTTTGCAGCGCGCCAAGCTTCGGTGACAGCGGTATTTATCGATTTCCAACACTGCTGGAAGAATTTCCCCACGCTCACTGATGGTCGAAAAGTAATAAAAGAGACTTCTTTGTTTGCACACTTTTAATAAAATATCAATGCACATTACATTTATAATATATGTATACATATATATTCTTGAATGGTGCCAGCTTAAAATGGTTGCCATACAAAACACATTTGATAATGCCAATTGCTAAACGACGGCATAGGCACTCATAGTCTAAGGTTGAATTCTCTTGTTTTTTTGTTGTTCTCTTTGTTTAGTTTTGTTTTTGTTAACATTTCATTCTAGGGAATTTTAGCTATGTTTTTGGTCTTGATGGGTCATTAGTATATAGAAGTTTAGAAGGCATAATTAGAGGAATCATTAACAAACGTTACATGTAATTAAAATTGCAAAACATAGTTAACATTACAATACGGTAACAAAAATACAAAAAAAAAAAAAAAAAAAAAAAAAAAAAAACAAACACAGCCAACGATGCCGTTCAGTGTTATACATAAATACTAATAGAAACTAATTGTGTATTCTGTTGCAAAAAACATTCATAAATTATTACGCTTAAAAAAGATACTATAGCTTAATATATATGGTGCACAGGCGCAAGAGGAGCTCCGCCACAAAATACTATCATAAGCGAATTCCATGCCTCTACGAGTACTGGGTGTGCGGATTGACGCTGATCATCTCCATATTGCTGCTATATATTGGTATATAAATGTATATAGAAGAAAGAAAAGTTGATTAGTTATATTTTTAAATGCAAGGCTTGTAATCATTTAATTGGCGCTGATAAGCCGACGATAAATGGTAAATGGTAATACTTATCGCGCACCAAATGCTCGGTAAATTCGACAGCCATTTAGATCTTTTTGCTTTGATGGAGCTTGAGGTACTTGAGCTTCAAATGAAGTCAAAGCTGTATGATGAGGGTAAGGAAATGGAAAGTATGTATGCATGTATGTATGTATTTAGTTTTTGTATTGATAATGGTTAGTGAGATTTCAGAGATTCGCCTGGTTAAAGGGATAAAGAGATGATGGCAGCGGCAACCGCTGTGCCAAACTTACCTACGACTGCACCGCATATGGATGAGGAGCAGCACAAGTCCAAGTACCACACAAATAGCACCCACAACAATATAGGCAATGCCTAAGAATGGATTTTTACCGCCAAGCACAGAGGTCGTCGATAGGATCATACGCTTGGTGCCACCAAACGATACGACAGGATAGTCTGAAATCACAATATACAGTATATAATATATCTATAGTCTATAATAAATGTTTTCAATGTCACTTACTGTACTTAATTTTTAGCGTATATTGGCCCGCTTTCAGCCCCTTCGAGTAGCTGTTGTTTGTTTGGTCCAGGCGGCGGTAGAGCTTACGAAAACTGGGCAAGGCAGCCGTGCGCATCCATACGATTAGATCCTCATTTTGGAAACCATTGTTGGCCGGATTTTGCGGGTCCAATTCGTCGACAGGTTGCTTCCAGAAGATAGGTGGCGAAAAGGGTTTCAATGCTTCCGATAGGTTTCCGGGGGGATTACGGAATTTGACACGTTTATCTGATGGCCATGCAATGCCAGTATTTAATAATTTAATTTCTGTGCTGCCCTGACTCAATGTCAACGTGTCTGTAAAAAAAAGTGACACGATTTGAATTTGAGAATAATTTTAAAACTGTTACCAATTACCATTAAAGAGGGAATTGGCAATGGCTCCGCATGGCGCAATCGGTCTGCCGTCGTCCGCATAGGCAAAGGGTGTGCAGTCTGAACTGGGGGTCAGGGACAGATGGCCCAACAGCTGCTCATCATCGCGTGATTTCACATAGCGTCGATGGTTCTGATAGTAGTTAGTTAGGCCATAGTACATATAAACGGTGCCCTGTTTGAATTAAAAGAGAAAAACTATTTAGCATAATTTATACAGGTGACTTGAATTTGGATACTTGCAAGGAAATCTTCCGTTAGATTGAAGGGTATCTCGCACAAGCACTGGCCGGCAGTTGTGCTCTCCAGAAAGTCAGCGCAGGTCTTATCAGAGCCCACCTGCTTGCACCTGGTGTAGTCGATGATGAGCTCATTGGCTGAGTTGGAAAAGTGCAGCAGCACCACGCCAATGGGCACGAATAGGATACCAATGATAAAGAAGGTGGGCAGAACAGTTCGTGCGGTCAGCACTGGCTGCCAGGCGGGCAGTCGTTGTTGCTTGAAAGCTGAATCTGTAAAATAAACACTTAACGTGTTTAATGGGTGTGATTCATGTATGCAGGTGGAACGAGGGTGGCTGTTGAAGGCTCGCCTTTAAAAATCGATCACACTTTCAATAAGCACTCGGTTTGTTTTCAGTATTAGTCACTCTTTTGAGTTTCCTTATCACAATCACACGCACGCACGCACTCACGGGCATAATACTAAGGTAGGTAGGTAGGTAGGGCTCAAGGTGCTCCAGTAGCGACAGCAAAAGTAACAACAACTTGTTACTTGAGTGTGAGTGTATTGTGTATTTATGGTGTATGTCTATTAAATTTTCACCTGAAGGTCGTTTTGACTTTGTGGCTGCATTTTCCTCATTTCCCACATTTTGCGTTGACATGGCGTCTTCTACACAGTGCTAGCGGCCACCGATGCGTCAATATTTTCGGATTACAAACTTCAAACTAGACTACTCGTCGCAAAATCGTTCACCCAAATACGTAAATAATACAATAAATTTCGCGTTTTAGTGCTGCTTATCGATATACATATATCGATAAGAAAAAGCAAATAAATATTACTGCAATGTACCGCGCATTTTAACACTGGCATATTAATAAGAATTAATTCAAAAACGTTTATACACATGATTAAAAGGTCTTATCCAAAGGAAAATTAAAATTAATTATTGAAATAACCTCTTTATTACCCTCAAACATTTTTCTGAATAATTAAGTTACTGAATTCGACTTAGGTATTGGTTCATCGGCTAGTAGTGCTCATAAGTAAAGTTGGCTATGAAAAAAAAAGCCAATATATATTTTTATTCAATTTATTAGAAATATTTGTAGCTAGCTTCATTTATTAAAATGTTTTATTAATTTTTTTTTTGCCAAATTCAAATATGTGCTCGTTTCCTGGTAATCGGTGTACTTTCCAGCACTGAAAATAACATCGCAGGCATTGATATATCGGAATCATTGGTGTATATGAACTAATTCCCATATCTAGCGGCAGCGGCGTTTTCGTTGAGTCAAAACAACAAAGTATAGGCAACAAAAACGAACTAACGAACAAGGGAAAAGAAACGACGACGAAAAACGTAAATTCACGCATTTATTAATTTTCGCTGTACTGATACGCATATGCGGCAATCAGAGCACACAACAATTGCTCAGGGATTATTAGTACATTATACTGTGTTCAAAAAACATTGTGGTTTTATAAACAACAGCAGCGAAACGCCGACACCGAGATGAAAATCACCGTCACCACCACCGATGATAAGCTCTTCTTTCTAGATGTTGCCACAGATTTGGAGCTAGAAAATCTGAAGGCACTCTGCGCCATGGAAGTTGGCGCTGAAGTTAGCCAAATAATGGTGCTTTTCAATGGCCGCGAGCTGACCAACGACAAGCAAACGTTGCAGCAATTTGGTGTGCGCGACGGTGACTGCATTATGCTGCAGCGCCGCAGAAACAATGCCAATCGTACAGGTGAGCTGCAATTATCAACCCTAAACTTCAATTCTCTCTGACTAATAAGATGCGCGCGTTGTGTTAAAACACTTAAGTGGGTCATTGCACGCGCTCTAGGCCGCTGCTCCTGGTCAGCGCTGCATTATCTAAATCTACGGGAGTGTATGTGTGGGCAGGTTTCCATGTGTGTTTTTGGAATATATGAATCTTTCATTTAAAAATAAGTGTATATTGTCTATACATTACTCAGTATATACTATATAAACGTATTGTGTTGAGCTTTTTTGCACATTCCAAAATTAAAAGACAAGAAATTGCAAACACAGCAAAGCAAATTAAACCCATATACACATATGTATGTATGTATGTATATATATATATATATATATACCTGCATACACAGACACTCCTGGACATGCTTGCGCACATTTGATGTAAATGTTGATCTGATTTTGATAATTTACTTTACGCTATTATCGATATACATATATATGTACACTTAACATAGATAATCGAATGCATACACACACACGCACACACTCACATATCCAGCTGCAGACGTTTCGCTTGACCCCATGCGCATTTGGCCTTGTCTAACATATGCATAAGTGTGTATGTGTGCATATTTATGTGTACATTGTCCAAATGCTTTAGTTTTTTTTGTTTCTTTGTGTGTGCGTGGGCGCGCGCAATTTGCAATCTTTTTTGAATTGTTTGTTGCGTTTTAATTTTTTCCATAGCTTTTTTGTTGCTTGCACCTGGAGCGTGGGCGTTTTCTTGCATGATCATATTCATATATGTATGTATGTATGTATGTATGTAGGAATGCATACAGACTATATCGTCTTTCTTATATAAAATGGGTCCTAAAAACTTTTTGTTTATTAAAACAATTGCAATTTGATTTAATTGGGAAAATCAAGTCATGTGTTTAAATTAAGAACAAATTGTAAAATAAACTAAAAGTTATACATATATATAATATGTGCATGTTGTATGGTATGTAAGATATAGTAGATTGAATCGGTCAAAGCTGTTAAGCTATAATTGTTATACTTATAAAAGAATTACCATACTGGATAGAACTTGTCATTCGTAGATATATTTATAGCAATTCTGATATATGGATCTTCTTTTTTCCAGTTTCCAACAATCCGTCGATTAGCCATTTGGATTTCAGCAGCATTGCTGTGCCCGGGACCAGTGCATTGGGTGGCAGTCCGCCCTCACACAGCGCTGGGGCAGCAGGGAACACGCTCAATATGCAGCAGCAATTGCGCCAGCATTTAGAGCGGCAGCAGCAGCAACATCTTGGCGACGTGCCCATGACAGATGATTTCAATGTTAATTTCGACGACGATCCGGCGACAGTGCGTCAAATGTTTCTATCCAGTCCAGAGACGCTGGCCTTGCTCCGTCAATATAATACGCGTCTAGCCGAGGCTCTGGACTCGGGAGACCAAGAGACATTTGCGAGAGTGCTGCGCGAGCATATTGTTGAGCGCAAGCGTCGCAACGAGCAACGCATGCGCATGCTCAATTCGGATCCGTTCGACGAGGAGACACAGCGGCTGATTGCCGAGGAGATCAAGCAGAAAAATATCCAAGATAATATGGCCGCCGCCATCGAATACAATCCGGAAATTTTCGGCACTGTGACAATGCTGTGAGTCCCATTGTTGATATACTTATTATATCTTATTTATGTTTCTTATATTATTCTAGGTACATTAACTGCAAGGTGAATGGCGTGCCGGTGAAAGCCTTCGTTGACTCTGGCGCACAGACAACAATCATGAGCGCGGACTGCGCGGAACGGTGTCATGTGAATCGTCTGATCGATACGCGCTGGAATGGCGTTGCCAAGGGCGTGGGCACACAGCCCATTCTGGGTCGCATTCATATGGTGCAGCTGCAGATTGAGAATGATCATTTGACGTCCAGTTTTACGGTGTTGGGCCAACAGCCTATGGACATGCTATTGGGCCTGGACATGCTCAAGCGCCACCAGGTGCGTCATGCTGCTCTCTTCTCTGTAGTATATAGATGTATAGGTCTATCTCTCTCGTTTTGATGGCAGTGCCTTATCGACTTGCAACGCAACCTTTTGATCATTGGCACCACGGGCACAAGCACCCCTTTCTTGCCCGAAAGCGAGCTGCCCGCATGCGCCCGCTTGACTGGTAACGCGGAGGAAAGCGAGCAGCAGGCCATCGCCAAGGCCATTGAGCAGAGCAAGCGTGAGGGGGGCGGCGCCAGTGCCATTGCTTCTACTGCCACAACCAGCGCCAGCACCAGTGCCAGTGCCAGTGCCAGCGGCAGCGGCGCCACTTTTGATATAAGCAATATTAACTCAATACAACCATTGGATAGCTTTACGGAACAGGATGTTAGCGAATTGATGCAATTGGGGTATCCGCGCTGCGATGTGCTCACCGTGCTGCGTCTGTGCAATGGCAACAAGGCCGTTGCCAGCTCAATGCTGCTCAGCCGCAATGCAGCCGCTGGCGGTGGTGGTCTTAGCTGAACGTTGCCTGCATGGCAACAGCAACTGCTCCTATTTTACTGCTCTGGGATCAATCAAAGGAAATATGCAATACAAGAACCACCAACGCCACCACCACCACCATCACCACCACAACAACAATTATCACTTCGCACTGAATCCGATATAACCTAACTTTTTTTTGCCTAGATCTATTTTTCTCAAATTTAAATCGATTTTACAAACTCTACATCTCTTTGTACAATAGCTAATTACTGTAGTAGTCGAGCGATGACTTATAATTTCTTATCAAAATGGAATAGCGCTTGCAACGAGCATCTTTTTGAAACGTATTGCAAACTATGCCTACAATTAGATTATATATACATACATATATAATACATAATATACATACAAACATGCACACCTTTTACATATATAGGTACATATAATAATATATGTATGTATGCATATATCTGAGCTAGTGTTTATAATCAAATAATGTACGAAAGAGACGGAATGGTTAAATAAAAATTAATTGTTTTTGGATTGGATTGGATAAATAAATAAATATGAATTGAATATGCGCCACAGTGATATGCATGGGAAGTCGTATATGAAAAGTTTTAATGTGCGAGTGAAGACTTTGGCCACAACGGAGATGACTCATGTTTCATGTGGATACAGCACAGTTGATTGATGAGGTCATTAGTTCTAATGATGTGATTAGGATACAGCGAATAAGTTATCCTTATCCTTATCCATCTTATGAGAGTATTATTTGACGAGATTCCCTTAGGATACTATGAGCTTATTATCCTTATCCCACTTATAAAGCATATCATTCATTTAATCTATCAGTTATCTTTATCCTTATTCTCATTAGTTTAAAAGATTTGCTTGGGATAAAATGTATCCGTTATCCTTATCCATTTACCTATCCCATAACTCTAAAGCGCTTTCATTAGGCTCTTTTTTTGGTTGTTGGACAATATGTTTTCAATTTTATTCATTTATAAATGTATAAAGTATAGGTATGTACAGACATACATATAGAGGCTCTAGTTAGCAGTCTCCGTCGCGTCAGCGATGCATTGTTAAATGGAATTGGTCATTGGCGCACAATTGTGTTGCAATGATTATGCCACCCGCTTCAGTAGTTTGTTTACTATTTTTTGTTTAAGGTGTATATGTTTAAAGCATACGCACGCACACACACAAACACACACACACGCACGCTCGCATGATATAAATATATTATACATAGATGTGTATAATGTACATTATAATTTATTAATTGTTCTGTTTTTCTTTCTGTTCATCTTTCAATGCTAGGTGTTGTTGCTTCAGGTCGAATTGGTTGCTTACTAGAATCGTTTTCATCATTTACTCTTCGTCTTCATCGTCATCTTCGTCACCCTCGTTGGCGCGCGCTGCCGAGTTTTTGTGATTGAACTCCTTTTCGGGATCGAACTGCATGCCCTCCTGATCGGCAGCATCCTCCTCGTCATCATCGCCAGCGACTTGGGCATTCTCAGCCTCGGCACGCTCCAGCCGACGCGCCAGATCGGCCTCATCAATGGCCGTAACCAGTTTCGGCGCCATGATCACCTTAAACTCGCCTTCATACTCAATGATCTTGGCGCGTATGCTCTCGATGGCCACCTCCAGGGCTTTGAGTCCGTCTGTTTTCTTTGTAGTGGAGGTGGTCATCACATAGCTATGGAACGTATATGGGAAAGAAATTAGTGTTCGAATTTCTGGTTGGATTAGAGATTACTTACAGCGGCGGCGCTATGAGATTGATGCGGATGGGCAGCTCCTCTGTGCTCAGCTCCAGGCCTTTGCTGAGCGATGCCTTGACTGCATCGATGCCCTCGTAGCCGTAGCAAGAGCACTCAATGTCTGCGCGTATTTTAACTGTGGGCGAGACGAGTTTTCGTTTGATGTTACTCAGTAGCACCTCCTTGGTCTCTGCGTCCAGATTGCATTCATCGAAGACAGATGGATCGGTCACCGATTGCTTGAAGATATCGTATGCGACAGTTTTGCTGTTGTATTTCTTTTCAAAATACCAGGCGGTCTTCTGATACAGTTCCTCGAGCTTGTCGCTGCTATCATATCCCAAAATGTCAGCTACATGACGCAATAATGAGTTTATTGCCTTTGCCTTTGCAAATCTCTCAGTACATTTCTCCACATCTTCCGGTGATACGCGACGCTTGGAGAGATCAATGTAGCCCTTTTCCTTATCCACACGAATGACTACGACCGGCTCTGTTTTGCCAACGCGTATCAATTTGTTAATGGAGCGAATACGACGACGAGAGAGTTCCGATAGCAAGATCATGCCCTCAATGTTGTTGTATTCCAGCAAATGAACGTAAGCGCCCATTTCGGCGATTGAGAGCACGTTGACCATGACGACATCTTCAATCTCCGGATATTTTTCGTTGTAGAAACGTGACGTTAAGGCCATTTTTACTGCGTTTGACTGCGAATTTTATTCAGATTGATTATATGCGCAGACTGAAGAGAAAATGCCAACAGAATTGCAGCAAAAACGTGTACAATTCGGCCGAAACAAGGCGTAAGAAGAAGCGTGCGAGCGGCAACAGTGCTGGATAATGGTAAATAGGGCGAGTTTTTAGCGGCGAATTTGCATCGATATATCGATAGAAATTGCAACTTTCATCTGTCAATCTGACAATCCCGGATAAATATCTTATTTGTATTGGTAGAACCACTTGAAATATTATCCTTCCTAATACAATTAATATTATAATGATTTTGGGCAATGTTAAGGCAATTCAATGATGTTGTTTTTCTGCAGTATTAAGTGTTGAAAAAGGCGAATGGTACATTCGGCGAATTGGCAAGTGTTGCTTTTAAATGCACCCGGGTGTTATTTGAAGCCACAAGAATCGTCTTTCATTGTGGAGCCTTAAAAAAATGCGTCCATTTTTTGTATGGTATATTGAAGGTTGTATATAAAGATGATAATAGCTTCAACTAGTGGGTGTTTTCCATAGCGCCTCAATCATCAGGTGTGTACACACTGGAGCGCGTGCACACGGCGACAATCTTGGTAGTCAGTCTGCGGATTGCAGCGAATTCGCTCATTTGAAAAAAATAAAACATGGCTGGAAGAGGTGGTTATGAACACGCTAGGTAAATATTATTAAATAATTAAAGAACTGTGCTAGTCAGTACGCCGAAATTGTGTTTAATTGGTGCAAGTGCGTTCGTAGTGTGTGTCCCAGCAAGTGCAAATGTGCTACAATGTATAATAATGCACGCGGTTTAAGCAAAAGTCAAGCAACACGCACACACACGAAACACAAACACACTCACGCACACACAAACCCTAAAAATGTATATGCATGTGTACATACGTGCGGCGGGTGTGTGTGTTTGTGCGCAAGTGTGCGTGTTTTTTTTTCTTCTACATTTCTTTTTCTTTGCTATTTTTTTTTCGGGCAATTTGCTGCGCTGTCGCCCGTTGGCCGACGTCGCTGTCGACGTCGACGCCGGCGGTATGCGATTTGCCTTTGCCGTTTAACTACCAAACTAGAAGCAGGGCCAACGTCAGCGCCAACAGCGACAGCACCATCGCCAGCGTCAGCGCCGCCTTCGATAGTTACGGGAAACTTTAAATAGACGGCCAGATTTATAGGCGAATTTCTATAGCTTTTTGCCGCAAAGTAATTGAAAGCGCGCGCGTTTTTTTTCTCTTTTTTTTCGATGTGTTTGTTTTTATTGCAATATTGTTTCCTTTTTATTTACCAAGCCGCAGCGCTTGGGCCGCTTTGTTATTGTTGATGTTTGCTTGTAATTCGAGCGGCAACTGTTTTTGTTTTACTGCAATGCGTTCGGTTTCGGCCCGGTTCCGGCTACGGCTCGGGCACACGTGCGTTGACGTCGCGACGCAGTCAAGACCGGCACATATTGTTGTCGTCTCTCTGGCTGCTATGCTGTTTGCTTCTAATTTCTAACTGTTATATTTGTGCTTTTGCGCTTGTAGAGGTGGCTTTGAAGGAGAGCGTCATGTGAAGCAATTGCCAACGGAACCGCCATTTATTGCGTTCGTGGGCAATTTGCCACAGGGTCTCGTCCAGGGCGATGTTATGAAAATATTCAATGACTTTGAGGTGAAAAACGTGCGACTGGTTAAGGATCGAGAAACGGATCAGTTTAAAGGCTTCTGCTACGTGGAGTTTGAAACGCTTGATAACTTGGAACGAGCTCTGGAATGCGATGGACGTATCAAATTGGATGATCTATCGGCCCCGCTAAGGATAGACATTGCGGGTCGCAAGAAAAATGACCGGTGAGTAACGTGTCCATAACAATATAGATATATTTATTTGCATTTATGCGTAAAACTAACTTTTGACTATCTTGTTATATAGCCCTGGTGGCGGAATTGGCGGCAATGGCGGCGGCATGAATCGCGATGGTCGGGATGGGTTCCAGAAGCGCGGACCACCGCGTCAGGGCGGCACCAGTCAATCGTATAGCCGAGGCGGCCCTGGCACCGGCGGTGGTCGCGAGGCCGGTGGCGGCTCTGGTAATCGCGGCGATAGTAGAGGTTCGTACAATGATAATTATGGTGGTCACAGTGATAGAAGTCGTGGCGGCGCCAGCTCCGGCATGAATAGAGGATACAATGGTAAAGCATTTTTATCAGCCACGCAAGTGAAACCTACTTCTTCAAACTCCAACCTTCAATACGTAGCTGCATATTCGTAGTCCTCAACCAAAAAAAAAATACAATAAAAACAAAAAGTACCAATCAAAATTGTAGTTGATTGCAAATTCGCATGGACAACAAATCAAATCAAATACAATCCACATGCTAAGCGTGACAATTATTGCGGCATTCAGCATCGGCATCTTCCAATCCCACCTCTTACAATTCTCTTCGACAATATTCGCACTCATTTTGTTTGCCTTAGTCATATAACAGAAACCCTATTTAGTTCTTATCGCTTTTCCGATTTATAGTTTGCTAGAATGGTCAGTTGCCGGACTCGAACCAAAGCGAAAACCGGAACAGACATTATTTTCTAGTGTATCTTATTTTAATTTTCTCATTTGCGCTTACCACTTATTACTGTTATTATTTTTATTTGCGTCTTTTATCACCTCTGACTTGGTTTTATGCCGGAGCGGTTTTCTTTAGTCTTTGAATTAGCATTTGCAGCTGTTTGTTCTTTTATCTAAAGCCTGCATCTCATATATTGATTTATATTCATATTTATCAGTATTCCTAGTATGATTTGAATTAATTTGCGTATGTAAGTTGTAGCACGCTTCATATAAGTAATCAAACATCAAAACTGGGCTCGCATGCTGCTTGGCTCGATTCGTAGTGTAATACTAGGCTATATAGACGGCCCGTATCCATTGATGCCCAGCATATAATAATGATTAATTCATAATATTCTAGATATACAGCGAGCTATAGTGTAATTAATCTATGAATGTTCTTTGCAGATCGCCCGGCTAACCGAGGCCGATATGGCAACTTCAATAATGACGAGAGATTCGATCGAAATCAGGATCGGGACCGCGGTCAGCGAGAGGGCAGCTATGGGAATCAGTCGCGCGATGGCGACAGATATAACAACTTCAGTCGGCATCGTGATCGCGAGCGTACCCACTACAATCCCAACCAGCAGCAGGAACGTCCCACTGGCGTTGGCATCGGCGCCATCGGTAACAACTCTATAATGTCTGGTTCAGATTCAAAGATTGCTCATGCTGAATTTCCAATTGCAGATGACACGGAGCGGCCACGCCTGCAGCTAAAGCCGCGAACAATTGCGGCGCCCATCAATGCGGTGGCCGAAACCAAACAGGCGGCAACCATTTTCGGCAACGCCAAGCCCCGGGAAGAGAAACTGAAGGAGCTGCAACAGAACGTCAATCAAAATGGCGATAACTAGATGACGGCGGCGGTGACGGCGGCGGCTCTGAAATCTTTAAATATGCCTAAATGATATTTAAACCAAGCAAAAAGTAAAAAGCAAAATAATAGAAATGGCCCAGAAGAAGAAGAAGAAGAAGACGACGACGATGAGACGAGTTGATGGTAATGATAGAGGCATATATCATTTGTGTGAGAGAGCGGCGTGCATATATATGAAGAGAGGCGGAAGACGAAGATGAAGATGGAGATGAAAACAAAAACAATACAAAATATAATTAATAACTATGCTATATACCTATTATATAAAAAGCTATGTACTATGCATACATAATACACATAAACAACATACTTGGCTGGCCCTCCCCATGTCGGCCAACAAACAACCGAGCAACTTAACAAACAAATAACAAACAACCAAGAAAAGCGGAGACAAACAAATGTAATCAGAGCAACAAACAATACGACAAAATACTTTCTTACTTCATGTCTGTTCGTTGGAAAGTGGAACTAAGCGAATTGTAACTGTAATAGGAGGCACATTAACAGCAGCAACAACAGCATCATCAACAACAGAAACAACATAAACTCGACAACAACAACAACAACAACAGCAACTGCAATGGAAAGTCTTTAAATGTTAGTATGTAAGCAGCGGTAAAGTAAGAGCCGTGCATATAGCTATACAATATACGGTATAGCTCATATATGCGCGCTGCTATTTGTTAGTTAAGTAATGCATATGTAAACCAACAAAAAACAAAAACAAAAATTATAAAAAAATACGTTCTACATTTAAGCGAAAAGTAAAGAAAAAACAAAAAACAGCAAAATCTAAGAAAAAAGTGAAAAACGACAAAAAACAAAAAAAAAAAAAAACGAAAATTTGACAAGCGTTCAGCGTTAGCAAGCAGGCAAGGCAGTTTATACAGTTTATATAGCAAAAATACAAGAAAATACTAAAAAAACGAAAAACATTTAACAAAAAAATGAAAAAAAAAAAAACAACAAATATTTAAAAATGAAAAAACGAACCGCAGTGAAATATACAACACCAACTACGTACGTATTACAAAAACAAAATTCGTAACAGCAAAGGAAACAAGTTTATATATAAATAAATAACACACATAACTTCACACTCACACACACATTATAATATATATATATGTGTATGTATATGCATATGTATATATATATATATATCTATATATACAAACTATGTAATCCAAGAAAAAAGTCGTAAGTCGTGAATTCAATATATGACCACAGTTCTGTTCTCTTTATTTTCTATCTCTCTTGTTTGTAATATTTTTTGTCTATATAATTTTTTTTAAATTAAACATTTTGTTGAACAATTTTCGTAATATTGTTGTCGGCTTCAATTGGCGAATAAAAACAAAAACATGTGAACATGGACAGAGGGGAGGGACACGGCGTTGGCAGCGGCAGCGGCAGCGGCGGTGGCATTCAAATCAATTTTTTTTTTCAGTGTAGATAATTTAATGCAGGGCAAGCATATATATTAAGAGAAAGATATCAATGTATATATCTATTTTTTTTGACGTGACAATTTTCAAATTAAAAACTCGAACGTTTTCCCTTAAAACGTTTTTTGTAATTTTTTTTTTTTTACAAAAAAAAAAAAAAAGAAATAATAATAATAAAGTCGAAATCATTTGATTAAGTACCACATTAGACACATTTTTAAAATTTATTTAGACAAACAAGATTCATCTAAAATTTTCTTTCTATTTTTTAAACAAAAAATGTATACTATTTTTTTTATATTTATTTTCAAAATGTTGCCGACATATTTTGTTGCCCATTCTAATATACAAATTGTAATCTTTTTTTGTTCATTAAAAAAAAAACAACTTAGCATAAAAAAAACAATGTGGGAAAACTAAAAGAAAAAAAAAACAATATGAATATGGAGTAAAAAACAGTTCGCCAACGTAACTGAGCACGCAAGCTATATAAATTTATATATGTGTGTATATATACACATATATATGTATGTATAACGTAAACTTTTTATAATTTTAGCTCTAATATTAAACAAAGTCAAAGATTTACCTACTATAAAGCGTAGACAAAACAAGTAGCAGCGGGCAAGTAAGCAAAAGAAGAAAATAAATTAATATTTGTATTTAAATAACATTTAAAGTCCCCTCCAGAACGCAAGCAACGTAAAGTTTACATTTATTTAAATAACAATAAAAATATATACTTATCCGAAGTTTGTATGTAATTAAGAACTTTGATATATGCATTTTAAATGACGCCCAGTATGAAAATCTATGGAAAATATAAAAGAAAACAACTGAAAACTTAATAAAAATAAACAAAAAAGAAAAAAAAAAACTTTAAAAGAATTTATACAAAGCAAACCAAAATAGCCGTTAAATTATGTCTTAATAAATATGAAAATGAATATGAATATATATATGTATGAATATATATATATATATTTGGGTTCAAGCTATTCGCATATACCAAGTTTAGCAATTAATAATCATAGCAAGGCAACAACAACTTCTATAAATTATTAAATTAACATTGAATAAGAGAAATTAACAACTAAAACTACAACTAAAATAGTATACTACAATAACTAAATATATAGTTTCATAATCGAATATCGTAAAGAGATCCCAAAACACGCGCATCTTTCTAATCCAGAGATTACATCAACAAAAAAAAAATGCAAAACAAACTTTTATTTAAAAATTCTTTAAATATATATATTATATTATATATATTTAATTTTGTTTTGTTTTTTGAAAATTTTGTACGATTTATATACCTATGCATAGAAACAATTTATATACATATAACAAATATATAAATTGTTTTCGCTTTGACTTGATATCGCCTGGCGCCCGCCCAGATTCAAGCAAAAAGTTGTGGCCGCTGCCAGTGCTGGAAATGTTTGCGTAATATCGATAGCAAATTGTAATATCGAAAATTTGAATTTCCCCAAATGATTTAGAGAAGCTTCGATTGTGGAGATTGGTTAAGTAAAAGGTTAAATATTTATATTTGATTATGAATAGCTACGAGTTCAGTTGCACTGACAATGGAATCAGCTGCTACAGTTGTCTGCCATTTGAACTTCTTGTGCGATATGCGTGACTAAGTAATGACGTCACGCGCTCATCGCAAGCGCCAAGCACTTATGTAAGTTATATGTAGTATGTATATATGTATGTGCAAGTGCAGATATGTAAGTCAGTATGTATGTATGTATGTATGTATGTATGTATGTATACGTTAGTCAATATGCGTTGGTCAGTCTCATTTTATAACGGGGCCAATTGGAATGTAAGCCAAGCCCGCGCACACACACATTGACACAGACACACATCTGCACATGCACATACATATGTATGTATGTATGTACATATAAACAGGACACTTGGCAACTCTGGAAGGTGTTTGGCGCGTCGTTGTCTCTGCCGCTGCATGATGTCATCGATGCAGCACGGGCTGCCAATTGCGAGACACACACACACACACACGCATGCATAATGAAGGATAAGTGCGTGAATAGCCAGCACATACGTACATATATACAAACATGTAAGAATGTGTGCCAACAGCGAATGGCTAATGCATGTGTGTGAGTGTGATATATTTGGTTTGTCTTTTTGATGAATTTTTCAGCACTTGTCAGGTTTTTTTTTTTAATTTTATTTTTGGGTTGTGTGTTTTATTTACCGTTATCAGCGCGGGCGTAATGACGCCATTATAAGGCCGAAATATAACGGCAGCAACAACAATGAAAAGGCCAGTCGACAGCATTAGGCAGCGTGTGTGTGTGCATATATGTGTGTGTGTGTGTGTTCCCGCATAATTAATTGGCATTTAATTTGCATTTAAGCGTTGCTTATGAAAATCAATGGCAGCAGCCCGCAGGCAATTCTCGCGCCGTTGTCCTTGCCAGCGACTTTTAGCCTTTTTTCCTTCTTTTACAGCTGACAAGCACATAAGCCAGCTTAGAAACAAAAATCTGTTTGTACTTGTTTATGACTGACAATATATCAAATTATTTACACTCAATGTTGTTTCAACTAATTTCAAACCAACATTCATTCTTCTTCTTTTTTTTTACCATTCGTTTCTATTTCGTTTTCATTGTTTAGCTTTTTAATTGTTTCTTAGGGCAGGACATCCTTGACATGCTTTTTCCAAATGTCCTTAATGAGTCGATGAGACACAAATACCACATTTTAAATAAACAATTCTCTGTCCATTCCGTTTACAATTGCGGTTGTACCGAAGGTGTACAAAATTAAATAAAAAATTTAGCATAAGCGAACTATTTGCTAATAGCCAATCCACTGTATCATAGTTGAAGTACACGACCTACTTTAGTCCACTTTCATTTGTAAAGTACCCACTGAACCACTTGGTTGAAGCAACAGCTTTGGTCCTATCTCATAAATACTGATTATGGTACAACTGGGCCATAGCTTTAATGTAAGATCTACTTCATAAGCAGCGTCCGTATAACCAGATTCTACTGTACTTGTAGCTATCCTCTCTATATTTTAGTATTTGTACCTATTTAGTTAAGTTCTGGGTTAGTTAAGTGTTTGATTGTCTTTAACACTCTTGGTACTTTTGCGTGTTCTTATTGTTTACTTATCGTATCATAACGTTGTACCTATTTTAGTACACTTTTCATAGAGTGGAAGCTAGTTCTTGTACTTGTACCTAAGCTTTTAAATGACAACTGTACCATTAGCTATAAGTAACTGTAATTGTATTGGTACATTTTACCCATCACTACTTATCAGCCTCTCTACTAGCCCCTCCACTAGCTTTAAATAACTTTAGTTGTATTGGTACATTTAACCCATCACTACTTATCAGCCCCTGCGTCTCTGGCTATGGTTAACTGTAATGAAAGTACCTTTTTTGGTACATATACAAATTCCCATTAAGGTAGAGCCCAACCTTTGTACCTTTTTTGTTTTTTGCTGACTTTAGCATTGCGAATCATCATTGGCGGTACCTGTGCCTGTTGTGGCACGACTCAAGCCCCAACCAAGCGCCGAGTAGTCGCACGGCTCTTGTGGATGGCATGTGGAACGCAAGTGGCAATTTGCATGGCAAGAATTTCGGCGGCTATTCCGTTCATCGCCCGCAGCGCATTGCAGTTAACCCCGAAAAACAATGAAGCAAATGGCATCAGCAGTCACACAAGACACACACACACACACACACACACACACACACACTCATAGAGATAGACACACACACTTTGCATGTTGTGCTCCATTTAGAGGCTGTTTTGGCTGAGTGCCTGCCAAAAAATCAGTCAACTGCATGCAGCAAGCAGTTGAGCAAATCGCGTGCCGTACATTTCATCCAAGCCAGCCTCCCCAGCCCCTGGCCCGCCTTTGTCTCCACCACCCCCCCATCCGACTTGACTTGGCTGGTGCAGCTGCACTGGCACATGTTGCTCTGCTGATGGGGCCCGCAATTTGATGTCTGCCCCACAAATTGACTGTGGCACAGAGT